GTGCCATTGAAATCCAAATATTAAAAAAGCCCCCTTTAAAGGTTTCAGCTAAAACATGGGACAAAAATAGCATTTGACCTTTGGTCTTAAGGGCCTCTTTTTGTAAGTGAAATGCGCTTCTCTTTTTAAATAGGCATATATATTCTGGGGTTTCTGACCTTATAAAACTATATATCTTCTTCCTAGCCCTCTACTATATCCCAGGAACTGTCTCTTGGTTTCTTAATATTTTTTTTAGTAAATTGATCAAATCCATCAGCTCCAGAAGATCCACCAACACCTATTTACAATCAGCAGCAGCAAATTTGACTTTTACAGGTCCAAATTTGCCTATTAAACCTTCTAAGAGAGTTATCCTGCTGAGCAAAGAAAGAAATTCCAATGCCTTCATAATTCAGATGCACGGAGTTCTTCTCCATAATGACCATTTTTAACCAGATCCAGTTAGTACTGTCCAGTCTTCACCATCAACTCTTCAGGCAAGAGAATTATCTAAGATGGGGAAATCTAGGCAAGCCTTCCTAAAGATTTATTCTTCCAAAACATCTTTTACATCAGAACACCTGAAATTCACTCCTTCCTTTTCAGCACTCTGAAGTACCAATCACAGCTCTTATGTCCAGTGTACTTTTGAAAGATATCATTGCTTTCAGTCAGTTTTACTTTTTGTCTTTTTAGGATAGATCATAGGTCCTTAGCAGTAATCTTTCACAATCTCCGAAGATATTTCTGGAAATACCTCCCCAAAATATAAGAGTTAAGCAACCTTTCTGCTACAATACTTTCTTCTAACACTGTCAACTAATTGTGCCTTTTGCTGCTCACATAACAGACAGATTAAATGTCACTATTTCATCCACAGAACTATTCTTTCTTCCAGATGCTACTGTGAGATAATTCCACTTTTTTATTTCAGCTTGGCATGCCTTGATTTTCTTCTCAGTTACATAAACATTTGCAAAGGCCCATGTTCCAAAATCAATCTTGATCTTGCATTTGATCAAGATATCTTGCCTAAATTCTCCCAGCTTTTACAGCCATCGAAGCATGGGTTCATTCTTTACATGGCCATCATGCTTTTGTTTTTTACAATATAGGATAGTTTTGCTTAGATGAACACTTGTATTCCAATGACCTTTTAAAGGGTGTGGTCTTTCCCTTCAGCATTTCATAATAATCAGATTGAGCTTCACAATTTATGTATTTATTCAATTTCTATAACTGCCCATCTCAGACAAGTGTCTCTGGGAACAAATTTATTAGCCAATTTATTGGCTAAACAGCCATGTTCTCTTCTGATCTACACTTACTGCACAAGCAGTCTTGGGTTCTGCATTACTGATGTTGTGCTGGTCTTCCTCCAGCTTAAAAGCTTGCTAGTCTTTCTTATGTGAATCACTGACAATACAGTAAAGAGCTGATTTCTTATCTATAATTGCAAGTCTTTGAATAGTCATCTGTGAATTCATATAACTTCAGTGGGGTTCTGTGCAGTGGCATAAATTCATAGATAATCACCCAAAGAGCTGTGATGATAGGTAACTAATAGTCCTTTTAAATTTTGCTGGCTTATTCTGCTGAGATGAAACAAAGGAGTGATAGCATAATATTAGAGTGATTTTAATATAACCATCTAATTCGTATTATTCATTCTGGAAAAAAACCTGATACCAACTAAAGTTGGATACAGATGAGTGTCACTTATTATAAGACTCACTATAAACGTGTCAATTGTTTTATTCTATTTTAGCTGTTGGGGTCTTTGCCTTGCCATCAAGAGCAAATAGCATAATTCCTCTCACACTATTTGAGTCTGGAAGCAGTAGTGACACGGAATGAATATCAAATCATACATATTTAATAGTTCAGCCTACTTTGTCTGCATGCATAACCATCTACTTACGCTTTAAATGCTGGGAGGTAGGAGTAAATAGAAATACTGCTTAAGTTATAAATAAACGGGAGATGCTTGCTAATATCTGTAGTTGCCCAACTGCTGAAGAAAGTGTTCAACAGTCCCTGGTCCCCACCTGCGGGAGGAAAGGAGAGAAAAAGAGAGAGAGGTGAGTAGAAAAAAAAAGCAACGGTTTAAAAACATTTTCAAATATTCTTGACATGCTATACATAAAATGAATCCAGAAAGTCACAAATGTTCGTGTCTCATCTGAAATATTACTTTGGTAGTTTTGTTGAACAAAATTTAACAAGTTTATTAATACAATTTAAAATCCTGTTTGGTAATGAACAAAACAGCTTTCCAAACATTCATAATTGATTAATTGAAGTGAAGATGGGCCATCTCATTATTTCAGAAGTATGAATCTTTTTTCATGCCAAATAAAAGTTTTTGCTGGTGGAAATCAGTTTAAAAATTGCTTTACGATGTGTATACCTACTTTTGCAAATTAAAGATATTATTTTTAAAAATTTGCTTAGTTCTAAAAAAAGAACTATTAGAAGTTATGAATATGCCCAATAGTGATGTAAATGATTAAAATTGAACCTTTCTGACAAGTGATTTTTGTCTTTATTGATCACATCTATTTATCAGTTGTTTTTCTCAATGAAGAATGTGATCATCCATGCACTGATTTTTTCTGCAAGCATCCCTGACTCATCATGAATTAATATTTAAGGCTTCCAAACTCTTGGCATCTTATCCAGAATACTAGCTTCAGGGAACTCAGATGCGGTTGCATATATCAATCTACATTCGTTAAAATTATTTTGTGAGGCAACAGACATCAAGTAACAATCATTTGGGCCAAGGAACCGTTTATGTTGCCTAGTTCAGTTTAGCAGACAGAATAGTTAGCAACAGAATGACAACAGCATTTTAGAAGCAGCCTAACTCCTTGGATTGATCTACAAAAATTAAGAGTGGGGACTTTTAACTTAAATACTTTGCAAAGTTATTTATTCAATAAGGATTAAAGACTGTGCTATTGCTACAGACACATCAAAACTTAGCAGTCCATGGTAGGTTTTGGTTGGCTCTATCAGAGAGTCAAGATCAAATATGATTCACATTTGAAAGCTGGTACACTTGATTTATATAATTTCTACCTTTAAAAAAAGAGAGTTATTCATTTTCCAAATCATAAAGAGAGTTATTTCATTCATTTTACAAGTCAGAGTAAGATTAGGAATATTCTTTCCACAGTCCTAAGCATACAGATGGAAAACATTACAACAGCAGTTCTGAGTGCATCCGAAGCTATTTGTAATTTCAAATTTGGCAATTGTAGTTGCTGTACCAATTTAAGATTCAGGGCATATTGAACATAGAATGGAAGAGACCCAAACACTTAACATATTTCTAAGGAAACAGCATCTCTGTTTCAATTTCCCACAGCAGAAAGAGTTGTTGTCTGAAATTTGTTCTCAGTGCACCATGGCTATTGCCAAAACATATCCCCTTGATAAGATTTTAAGTGAAATTCAACATGCTTGCATTCTGGGATAAATTTCAAAATAAACTTATTAGGGCATAGCCAAGGAAGGTAATATTAAGATAATATAATCAGAGGGAACACAAGACTTCTATTTGTGTTTTGCTTGAGACAGGAACCAGGCAATCTTGTTAATGTAAGCCATCTAGTATCCTTGCCAGTTTAACTAGTGCCAATACTCATTAATTAAGCCATATAAAAAAACCAAGAGTAATTTAGGACTTAACTTTTAAATGACAAAAAAGTAGCACAAAAGTAGAGTCCTAAATAACTCTTGCTATTTCATATGTGGACTTCGTTTTCCATCTTATTTTGCACTCCATGCTAAAAGAGGCACAAATAAATTTACTGAAAAGCAACAAAATTTAGACAACAAAAACAGCTTCTTTGGAAATTTCTGTTAGCTTCTATCAACTAACACAAGCAACTCCTAAAGTTAGAAAGCAGCAGGTTTAGTTCACATGAATGAAGCTTTAGAATGTGGCTATTCTTATGGGAGGAGGGGAGGGAAGAATTTTCCTGTGATAAACTGTCTGCAGTAATGTAACCTAATTTTCACGCATATTTTAGCAGAGGGAATACAACAGTACAAGTGTGAATAATATCAAAAATATGCCGATACATTATACATCTATGCAATGTTTTCATCTCCTTTTACAATTCAATATAGTTCCTCTAAAAAGCATCTTCCACGTAATTTTCAGCACAGACACTTCATCCAAAAGACATTTTCACATTAGGCGCAATTATAGCAAAGCAAGCAATAAAGCAAGATCCTGTTCTACAAGATAACAAGCCTTTGTCTCATGGACTATTTATGAATGATTTCCAAAATACAGAAAAAATACATAGGGTCAGAATCCAGAATGACAGAGTTGGAAGGGACCTTGAAGGTCCAATCCCTTGCTTAAGCAGGAAACCCTAGGGCTTTATTTTGTCATAGAACGCCCAGAACGGAGTTCCGGCACCTTTTTTGGATGGAACCTTTTAGGGTAGGCAAGGCGGGTTGTATGACATGTGTGAGTTCCAGCACTTTTTTTTTTTTTTTTTTTTACAAAAGAAGCACTGGGAAACTCTATACTATTTCAGATAAACAGTTGTCCAATCTCTTCTTAATAACCTCCATGTTGGAGTACGCTCTACTTCTGGAGGCAACCAGTTCCACTGATTAATTGCGCTGTCAGGAAATTTCTGCTTAGTCCTAGGTTAGTTCTCTTTTTGATTAGTTTCCATCTATTACTTTTTGTTTTGCCTTCAGATGCTTGGGAGAATAGGTTGACCTGCTCTTCTTTGTGGCAGCCCCTCAAATATTTGAAAACTGCTGTCATGTCACCGCTAGTCCTTCTTTTCACTAGACTAGACAAACCCGATTCCTGCAACTGTTCTTCATATTTTTTAGCCTCTGGTTCCCTACTCATATTTGTTGCTCTTCTATGCACTCTTTCTAGAGTCTCAACATATTTTTTATATCGTGTGACCCAAACTGGATGCAATATTCCAAGTGTGGTCTTACAAAGGCATTATAAAGTGATTCACGTGATCTTGATTCTAACCCTCAATGAAGCCTAGTACTGTGTGGTTTTTTTGGCAGCTACAGTGCACTGTAGGCCCATATTTAAGCGATTATCCACTAGGATTCCAAGACCCCTTTTGCAGTTACTATTATTGAGCCAGGTACCACCTATTCTATACCTGTGCATTTGTTTTTTCTTGCCTAAATGTGGAACCTTATTTTTTTCTCTATTGAATTTCATTTTTTAGAGAGGGCCCAATGTTCAAGACTGTTCAGATCCTTCTGTATCTTGATCCTATCTGGAGTGTTGGCTATTCCTGCCACCTTAGTGTCATCTGAAAATTTGATGCGTTCCCCTTCTATCTGCTCATCTAAATCATTGATGAAGATATTGAAGAGTACTGGGCCTAAGACCCCCACTGCATACTTCCCTCCATGTAGATACATTTCCATTAAAGACTACATGGTGAGTACAGTTGGTCAGAAATTATGAATCCATCTATGGTGATGCTGTCTAACTCACATTTTTCTGTCTTATCAAGCAATAGATAGTGGTCTACTTTATCAAATGCCTTACTGAAATTCAAGCAAATTATATCCACAGCATTTCATTGGTCCACTAATTTTGTCACATTATTAAAAATGCAGTAAGATTTGTCTGGCACAATCTGTTTTTGACAAGCCCTTGCTGGCTTTTGGTTATGACTTTGTTTGCCTCTAGGTGTTCGCAGATTCGTTCCTTGATTATCTTTTTCAGAATCTTCCCAGGTATTGATAGGTCTGTAGTTTCCTGGATCCATTATTTTTTTCCTTTTTTGAAGATGGGAACTACTGTATATTTAGCCTGTGTTTCACTGAAAAAGGTCTGTTTTTAGATTATTTTTATCCTGCTTTTATTATAGTTATAAATAATTCAATATGGCTAACTTATCTAATACTCCTTCCTCCTCCTATTTTCCCCACAAGACCACCCTCTGGGGGTGGTTGTGCTGAGAGTGAATGATTGGCCCAAAGTAACTCAGCTGGCCTTCACGCCTAAGACAGGACTAAAACTCAGACTCTTGGTTTCTAGCCTGGTGCCTTGACCACCAGATCAAACTGGATTTTATTCAATTTTTAACTTATATTTTATTATAACTATTATAAATGTTACTATTTTTTATTACTTCTTACTCAGAAAAATAGCATTTATTTATTTATTAAATTCATTTGCCACGATTCTCACCTACAGGTAACTCCAGGTGGCTTACAACAGAGAAACAATTTCCTAATTCTCTGCAAAGAGAATCAAACTAAGTGTCCCTTGAGCCAATATTGTACAAATTAACTTCCTGCAATCTGTACCTACTATTCTCATCAGCCCCAAACAACAGGGTTAGGGGTGATGGGAATTATAATAGAAACAACACTAAGGAAAGGCTACTATAGCTTTTTCCATGTTATGCTCTTGCTTTCTGAATGTAAAAGATTGTGGCCTAATTGTGGAGATTAAAAAAAGCCCAAAAAATCATTCTCCTTCAGGCAAAGGATTATAGAAACAAATAGAAAAACAGGCCAAAACATTACAGTACATTCTCACTTACTATCTGCAATGATTTTCTTCTAAATTGTAGCTGGCCATGCCCTTATTTTAGGCAGCGGTAGCTGCAAAGGGTCAAGTAAAGTACTGTTGCATAAGCGAGTCATTTCTAGTGAGCCAGCCCAATCTTCTTTGGAATTCAAGGGAGGGGGTGGGGAGGGGTGGGGAGAGAGAAACTGTCTTTTTAAAAGCCACTATTTTTATTTTTGTTGCTTTTAACTACTTCAGCAAGTGTTATGATACTCTTGGAAGTTTCAAAGCCTTTGCTTTCAATGGTAAATATGCCAACCTGCTATGGCAAAAATGATAAGTAACCTTCTTTCCTTGAGTGCTGGACATCTGTACTTGAAAGCCAGGCATGACCAAACCACATCAAGTGCATTCACAGCAATTGTCAAAGCAGCAACTTGCCCTCCCTGTTCCATTCAGGCATTTTCTTACCTAGAAAGATTGGTGGGAGATAAGATGGTATTCTTTTGAAGGAGTCTTGCATGGAAAACTGAAACCTGTTCTTTGGAAAATGTTCCAAATTCAAAATGTCTTACGTTTGAAATGCCCTAGTTTGACCTCACTGAAAATACTCCAATCCCGTTCCAATCATTTTGGAAGTGTTCAGAAATGAAATTAGGGTTGTTTGAAATTGGAAACACTTCAGGACTGCTTGGACCATTTCTGGAAAGTGGGGACAACTACTATGGAGCTGTAGCATACACTTTAGCTACTCTTTTATTCTAAAGTGTAGGATATATAATTGATGGGCTTAAGGTACCAGAAATCAGATTCCGGGCTTAGGTTAACAAGAAAACAAATTCTGACTGATAGGACAACCGGCAAGATAACTGACCTAATTACTTGGAGATGCAGCTGTAAGCTTCCCTTTGCAAGGTTGTATTCAAGCAGTAGCTAGAAGCAAAGGGGTTTCTGCAAGGATGCGGGAACCGGTCTTGATGACTTAAATGGCCTCTTTAAACTCTGATGCTAGGAATGTTCTCATCAGGTCTTCTTTTAAGAAAGATCAGTAGCAGTGTGCATTGACATTGTTGCCAAATGGATGTTGTGGTTCATTATGCATTTATCTAACCATGTATTATGGCTTGAAATATAACACTGGTCTGTTGTTTTCTAGAAGAAGCAGAACACATTGCCCTATTCAATATGCCATTAGGTAATGACTCTTGATCTGTCGAAAGACTATCTCTTTGCAATTCTTACTGTAATCATATACACACAGCTGATTTATTGACAGATTGTCCACTTCCTTTTTACTCCACTTTTAGGAAATCTTATTAATGTTTCATACATTCAGGTCCATTGAAATAAAATCCCATCTACTGAACGCTTCAGAAGCACACCATTCTACAAGCATTACACATTTGCTGCAGATTTGTTTTGAACAATCTGATTTAACATATACCCAGACTTTAAATAAAAGATTTTCCTATCACCCAGATAAAATGAGATACGTACCATCAAAGCTGCCTTTCTCGCTGGCAAGTTGTAACAGTTGATTGAATGTTTCAATGGAAGGCCTAAAGACAAAAACCCCTGAATTGAAACAGTCAGGCCAGCCTGGATCTGGGGCTGCAGAAAGTTCTTCTCTTTCAAAAAGTTCATCGATGTTTGACAAGACCTAGTAGGGAATATATGGTTTGCAGGTACAAGTGTATTATTCACCAGCAAAAGAAATGGTAATTTCCTCTAAGATACATTGTTATTACATTGTTTAGACCTACTAATGTTGATAGGTGTTTTTTTTTCTGGAAACTAAGTTAATTGAATGCATTTCAATTCACAATCCATGCCCCATTTTCCTTCCCCAGTTTAAAGTTGTTCTGAAGAATGCTGTCTATATGGCAAAGAGAAGAGACTAGGCATTCTACATAATGGATATATTTCTGTATCTAGCACTACCCCAAAATTCTAGTGCAGTCTGACTTTTTCCTTAAATCACTGCCTATTTATCAACAGGGCAATTAGATGCATAAAAAGTAGATGCTTTTAATGCAATGGATGAAGCCATAATTTACTGTAGCAAAGTATGCAGTTTCTACATATGCCTATTTATTTAGCGTAGGGCAGAGTAAATGGATAATAGTAGTAAAAATATATAAAAGGAAAACAATCCTATGGTACACGTATGATGGATATATGTAGTCAATTTTGTAAGGTATGAGGAATTCAAGAAGTTTTATATATAAGCTATAGGTTGTACTTTAAAAGATGTTGATTCATGACAATGGAATAAGTATTCTATATATTAATACCACATATGTCTGAAGAAGGGCAAATCAAAAGCATCTCATTGACTTACTATGTGGCATATAAATTACTATTCTCTAACATGGACTGAAAACCAACACAACTAAAAAGGATTATCAGCAGCAAGAAAGACATACCATTGTATCTGCATCCATAAACACACACTTTGAATACTGTGTTAGTTCCCAACAGTGGAGTTTTGTCAAAGTAACACCAAGTTCAGGCCTTTTCAATAGTGCAAGATGGGCTGAATCACCACTGTCCAAAACATCCACCAGCTTCACATCATCAAAGACCTTTTCTAAGACTGTCCTATTGAAAGGAATGGTCATGGTTTACATCAATACTCAATGCCACTCACACTCATCCAATAACTGTCTACACTATCCCTAGAACCTGTGAGAAAGCAGACTTCTATATCATATTTCTGCAAGAGCCTATAGGAATTTGCTTGAAATAGATTCTTCTGACAGCAACTGTTTATCCCCTCTAGTATATTTCAAACTTAAAGTGTACAGGAATGCAGACTTGAGATAATGCACTTGAAAGGTGGTGGATTAGTAGCACTGACAGGCTCTCAGAGCTATATGAATAGATGGGTCAGAAAGACCTACACTCTTGATAAGTCAACTGGCTATTTTAAACTAAAGAATTATGGAGTTTTTAGCATTTATGGGATGACTTCTGGGCAGTAGCCAAGAATATACTAGGGTTGCAGAACATACCCAGAACAAACTGATAAGGTTTGAAAACTCTCAAAACTATTAACAATAACTAATCATTGATAATGATTCAGCATTTGCAAAAATGGAAAAGGGGTGTACTGAAAAAAGAAATCCAGATAAACTGAGTTCCAGAATAGAGATGTAACCACATAGAGCAGGAGCAGGAAACAGTGGTGGTGGCTCTAAATTCTACCAACAAAATTTATCTTATTTTGAAATTGAAATTTCTAGTTAGCCGTGTTTACACTAAACAAGAATAATAGTATTTTGAAGTTTTAAGTCTAAAATATTTAATTATTAAATCACCTCTTAAAATTTAGGGGTCTAAAAACCCCTAACAATGTAATAGTATGATGTACAGAGACCTTTTATAGTGCTGCTCTCTTTTCTGTTACTCAATACAAAAGCAGAAGTCCTGGGCAACTGGCAATACTGCAGTACTTCCTCTCTACCAGTTTTACCTTAGATTCTAGGATGATTCACGGTTGTGCAGGAAGGAGCTAAAAGACTTACTGTCACTTCCTTACAGTTCACTGCGGCTTCCTTTATAGCTAGATAGACCGCTTTTGTCCAACTGCCCATGAAACACATGCTGAAGACGCTTAATTATGAAAATTCTGGCATAATTTTTGCCTTTAACGTTTCTCCTGGAATTGAAGGCATTTTTACCACATTTATTTAGACTGGGAGAGAAGAGTAAGTTCTCTGTAAAAGCTCAATTTATGTAAAACATTAAACAAATTTAAACACCCTGCCCTCCATCAAAAAGAGAGACCTTGCATAGCATTTGATACAACCGCTAAAGATTTAGCACAGCAAGCCACAAATCTCATTATGCAAATATTTGAGCAAGCTGGAAAATGTAGTGAAGTTTCTCATATGCTTAGCAAAACATTTAGAATTCAGGCTACAATTTAAATTAGCCTTAAATTAAGAAACAACTATGACTAATTAAACCTGCTAACACACTAACACTATCTTAGTTATCCATATATAAACTTGTCTTTCTTGTTTACACTAACAATAAGTAGTCTAATATCTCATCTTTATAAACATCCCCAGTTGCTAAAATCTTGGTCCTGCATTATTTTCAACATCTATTCTTATGAAGCAAAAAATCTTTCAACTATGTTCAGAGAAGATGTTAAAGCCCCAATGTCAGCATCTGGGTTGTTTGCATAGAATCAATTTGTCTGCTCCTCGTCCAGCACAAGACCCTTCTCTTTACCCCACAGTCTCTAGACAACCCTAAAGTCAAAGGGCCTTCAAGGGCAATTTCCAATGAATGTAGAAATTAAGAGCCAGGAGAAAAAAAGCTATCAATATACACATTAATTCACTACTTAATGATGGCTAGAAAGAAATAATAGTTCCAGGCAGGTTCAGGTTTATTACTTTACAAATAAAATGCTGATTAGTTTTTTCAATGGAAACTGTAAAACATTGCTTGTTCCATTAAGTGAAACAGAAAATATTACTTAAACTATGAAATAACTATTTACATTATTTTTACATATGATTCATCTTAACAAAAGATGGCTTAGCTATGCTCTTAAGGGAAAGTTCACCCAGCTGCATTTATTTTTAATTTATTTTTAACTAAGCACCCACTTGACCTTTGGGTGCACTTTTTCACTGAGGCTGGATGACCATAACGCATCAGGTAACTCACCTCATTGCATCAGATACATGGGGAGTGATCAATACTGTCAACCTCCTTGTCGTTCTGTAATTCCGTAGCGATGATCCAAGGACAAGTGCTCCTTTTACATAGGAATCATTTGTGGCTAGTGTCACAAAAGACTGATCTTAAGGAAAAGAGATATACATTTCATTAATATGGAAAAGACCTGTCACTGCCCATAGTGCATTCTTAGGACCCATCACTTCATTTTATTCTGGCAGTAGTTCCAGAAAGATAGGATTTATGTTTTAGGCTAAAAAGAATTACTGTACTTATATAAGTAGTCCTTGACTTACAATCACAACTGGGATGGTTCCTGTCATAAGTTGATGCAGAGACAATCAAGCAGCTGGTTTGATTGTTGCCACCCCAGGGTGGAGTGGGGTGGGGTATTATACTATACTGTTCTGTACTCTGGATTTTTAATTTTGTAAACTGGCCAGAGTCCTTGGGTTATGTAAAATATGTTCATTAAATATATAATTTTTAAAAATAAAGAAATCAAAACTCATGCATATCTTGATGCAGTTGATATTTACAATTACCTAACCAATAGTGTTAAAACATGCATATTGCAAAGTCCTACCTGTAGGATAGGACCAAACGTCATCCACTGATAGTAATTTAATCCTAACAAAGAACACTTTTCTTTCCTGTCTTTACTGGGCTAATGTAGGAGTAAACAATAAAATATATAACCTTGAACAGAAAACATTCAAAGGGACATGCTCCCCACACATTACTGGGATACAATGTCCCCTTTTGTGCTGTTGTAGAGTTATACTTTTGTGGAGCTGAAATTATCAAGCTTCGTATTATCTGGAAATGGGAAACTTCTATGTCAGTGAAATTATTAGGAAATCTGTTTAGCAATTCAAATTGTGCAAGGTACACTGGCTGTCACAAGTTTAAACTATATATACTAAATGGATTTCTAATTAAATACATTGTTCGCTATTCTTGCATGAGATTCAACTTAGTGGGTTGCAGTACAAATCGCTCAGACTTTCCCATCCATGTAGTACTAAAATAAAGTTTCTACAAATTCCTTAATTTCTCCGCATGGAACCATTATCTAAAAGTTTACAGACAGGTTACAGCAGACCAGCCCAGTCTACTACAATGCCCTCCTTAGGCAATGTCTACATGTTTATATGTATCCAATTTGGAACGGAATATCAGAACTGGTTCTTTGATCATCTCCGAGTATGTGTCCTGAGATGTCTATTGTAAGTAGGCTGATAAACTCAATATTGTATTTTAATTCCTTATTCATTACTTGAATATATTTACACAACCACCTCGCCCATCCAATTGTAGTGGTTGTGCGCCCAGGATTGGGTTCAGAGCGTAAATATATATTTTTCCCATTATAAGCTTCCATAATCAATTGCTCTGTTGGCTGAAAAGAAAACATTTGAAGATGATGCAGTGGTGGTAAGGGAAAAAAAAATACTTTTTACATGTCTCAATACTACATCTTCATTATAAAGAGCTAATCTATTTGAGACAAACCCTTGCAGACCTTAGCTTTCTACCTGCTAAGCAAGTCATATCGCATCTGGAAATTATTATTCAGAGGAATGTAGGCAGCTTAACTCGGAGATATTTCTGCTCTATCAGTAGCTAGCAACTGAAATATAGATGAGAGGCTCAAACTAGCTGATTCAGTGTTATTATTAGTTGCATACGAAAGTCTTGTCCTTTCAACCTGAAAACCTAGCTAGAATTTGTGTTATTAGAGTCTGGACAATGTTTTAATTAAGCCAATGCTAATTTTATTTGCCAATGGATATGCACTCCTTGCTGCTGAAAGTTAAAGTATGATACACTGGCACTTGTAGCCTGTAATTATCATTTAGGAAAGGATGAACAGCCAGTCTGATGCAATAGTTAAGGTGTTGGCCTAGAAACCAGGAAGCTCTGAGTTCTACTTCTGCCTTAGGCATGAAAGCTGGCTGTGTGACCTTGGGCCAATCACTCTCCCAGCCCAACCTACCTCAAAGGATTGTTGTTGTGGGGAAAATAGGAGGAAGAAATATTATATATTTGCTGGCTTGTGTTACTTATAAATTAATAAAGGTGAGACAAAACACAAATAAATGTTATCTGCTTTTACTAAAGAAAGATAAATTGAATGTTAATTCCAAATTGGTAATGTTTAGTCTTCAATATTTTTCTTAGTTATTCAAGACCAATGCTGCTCAAGAACTTCATGCAATTGTATAAATGTTTATAAAATGATTTTGTAGAATCAATCTTTTATTGAGGACCAATATAAAAACAGGAACAAAAGCAAAGACTCCAGAAACAATCTAACAACTTTACCATATAGAAAACATTTTATTAATATATATTAATAAATTTGTATAAACATAAGATATTGTATAAAGATGGTTGTTATATTAATGCCGCATTTTAGCTAAATCAGTATTACTCTACAGGATGAGTATGGATTATATATGATTATATTGAAATAACAAACCAATACAGCAATGCAACTCAGATCACTAATATATTTTTGACGAAAATTTGACAAAATACACATTTTATGAAATTTGCTGGCATAAATTGGGGGCTCAATTGCTTAGAAGGATTTATCAGCATACACAAGTTCACAATAGATAACAATCAGAAAATCTGATATAATCCAGCAAACTCTTATATTTCTGAATATATACTAAACCTGATGTATCAGACTATTTATTATTTGCACATAATTACTGTACACATAATCCAAAATATTTTTCCAATTTAATATTTCTAAAGCTGTTCTTTTACCCCAAAGGTCATTAGTAAAACCACTTTCTTCTTTGGGAAGATGTGATGAGTGGTTTAAGGCAAACTTATCAATATAAACCTAAGACTATTACCCGAGAGTGTGCATTACTTACACCACTTTATTATAACACTACCACAATAATAGGTTTTAAGTCCAATTTCCATTTATTATTATATCCACACACATTTTGGAAAGATCAAGACAAAACATAATTTAGCTTAAACTCAAGGCTATCTAACATTGGCCATTACAATTGCTTGTGCCTTTTACCACTAGTTGTCAGGCCCAAGCCCAAAGATGACACAGTTAAATTCAAGCTAGTCCAATACTTTATTTGCTTACACCTAATAGACAGCATCACAGCTGGCTAAACTATAATGGTCTAACATAATAGATATATCCTAAGAGATTCTAGGGTGTGGCTACTTTGAACCTCTTCCTCTCTCCCCAAACATCCTGGACTGCTCAGACTCTTATTTTGGGCTTCTCATTGGAATGTTCTGGATCCTCCTTGGGAAACTGCAGTGCTCCTGCTGAGATCTCCCTCCCCTCCCCAATTCCTTCTCTTGGTGTACATTCTATCACACTAACCTCTAGAGAGGCAGACAATAGCCATGTACAATGTTTCACGACACCCTTTTTTCAGCAGGTGCAGCACTTGGCTGACCTTGTCTGGAAAGGAGGGTCAGACTTGATTAGTATTTGGATGGAAGACCACTGGGTAATTTTGTGCCTGTAGGTTAAACCACAACACAACTTGCAAGAAGGCAATGACAAGGCTACTATATTAGGAAAACTACATGCCCATGTCCATGAAGTCATCAGAAGCTCAAGGTGATTTTTTAATAAAGCACCCTTAAGGTTATGCTGCAATTTAGAAAGTGAACAAGTGCTTCAAAAATGTTTAATCACTGACACCTGGAGTTAAATGGATTGGGCAGCAATAATGAAAAGAGCACTGTAATTGTTTTTATAAGGTCTACTTCCCAAAGCACACAATACAAGATCAGATAGACTATATCCTGACTCAGCACAAGATAACACGCATGCTTGAAACCAAGTTATATAATTTATGCATAGAAGCATACCAGAGTTGAATTGGATTATGTGTGTGTGGGGGGAAGGGGATGTTAGGGTTGATATTAAGAATGGATGAATGCAGAAGGCAAGGCCTCATTCATGAAATTAATTAAAATGAGAAATGCCTAGGCCTTCACAGTGAATGCTTATGATACTGATTAGGTAGGTAAGAATCTTAACAGCTTACATTGATCAATAGGCTAAACTCTCAAAGTAGAGCTACTTGTGGCAGAACAAAGTTACAAGTAAACATTTAGCACACTATGTGATATTACAGGCATACCTACCCAAGGTTTTGAATTGTGTTTCTTCCTAACAAGATAGCATAGTCAATAAAGGCTAAGCTTTTGGAGAACACTAACAAGAACAAAAATGAAAGGATGACACTTGGTGGAAAGAAACCCAAGTGCCACAGTAAGTAGTCCCTTTGGGGATATGTTATTCTCATCTTTATAACCTATGCAGCTGGCATTGTGGTTGGATGGAAGAAAGTTCTTCTGAACAATTTGCAACAGTAGATTCCTAGTTTTCATTCAGTTCTTAGGGCTCCACAGCAACCCACTTGTGTATCAACTTGAAAGTGAACAGGCCAAAGGTTTAAATGTGTATTAAGAATTCACCATGGTTCTGTGGTAAGATTCCCAGCATGTTTGGACTATAGGCATAGTTCCCATTTTGAAAATAGGCTCAGGCTCCCTCCAATTGGTATTGTACTACATTGAGTTAGTGATTGTGTTAAAGTATCACATTTAAAAATTTATATTCTGATTATGTCCCCAGGGATTTGACAGAATGGTCCTTATTACTTCTACTTACCATTGTCATTTTTGGGGAACAGGTGGATAGCCACTAAAATTATTTCTTTAAAAAGTTTATGCAGCTGATTTATAGTCCTGAGATGTTCTGGAGCTCTGTTTGCAATACTTCATCTTACTTTTAAATTAAATTTATGAAAATGCAGAGGGGACAGAGGGCCTGATGACATTAAGGAGAGTGTCTCTGGCCACTTCGGCATGGTGGAGTCTCACCCCACGACCCCCAGGACTACTAGAATAGGAAACCTACAGAGGTTGCAGTATCTGCAACACTAGATAAGAAACACAGCTAACTGGCAAATTCTATCATAGAGCCAGCTTTATAAATTTCAAACATCTAATCTCATTTACATGGTGCCTCTTCTATCCAATTAGGTATTTTTTTTTAATCAGCCCAAAGATAAAAAAAAGAAAAAAAACCTGACACATCATCGACCAACCCCATAAAACGGTCTATCTGTGCCCTCCGGATTTGCGCGAGCGATACAAACAAGGCTGCCGCTTTAAGAGAAGATACCCAAGGAAACACGCATATGTGCGCGCAGCATGTACGAATTACAAGAGTTAGATTTCCCATCTGGCCGCCAACGCCTGTCACCCGCACGTGCCCCAGACATTGCTCCGAAGACCCCCCCAAAAGAAAGAGGGCGGACGCTGACTTGCACTCCCTGCACGCTACCCACCGGGAAAAGGCTCACGCGCCAGCCTAAAAATAGGAGCCGCCATGCGTAAAACAGGGCAGCCGAGGTCTCCCGAGGACGAGCGCTCCCGCAAGCCGCCTGGCCCAGCGAGCGCCGCTTTCGTTTCCTTCGCAGGACCAGAGCGCCGGGAACGAGGAAGTGCCGCAGCTACTCCGGCTTGTAAGTCACTTGAGGCTAGAAGATAACGCTGGACCCGGGGCGAACTGGGCGGAGAAAAAAACCGGGAGAGGAAACTCGGGCGGATGTATATGACCCGCTCTCCGCAACTGACGACCAAGCCGGCGCGGAAAGGACGCGCCGCCAGCCTCCTTCCGGAGGGGAAAAAAAAAGCGTCATTCGGGCTTACCTGCCATGGTGCCGCTTTCAGTCTTCCAGCCCACTTCACCAACACCCCCCTTTCAGACACTCGCTCCCTTTCCGGAGCTCCACCTCTTATATAGGGCAGGCGGAGCCCGGCAGAAGGGGCGGAGCCTCTAGAATGGGCCAAAAAGGGAATGCCTCCTGTGGGGGGGGGGGCGTACTCACGCTTGCGGTGTACTTGGGAAGGCGGCGGTCTGGCGAGGAACGGGTTGTGGCGCTTTAAGGGCGCACGAACCGCGCAGCGAGAGCTGCGGTGGAAGAAGATATGGTGGCTTGCTAGCTAGAACGGAAAGGGAAAGCGAAGGCTGCATCCTTGTAGAATAAGGTCATTTTAGGCTGGTAGGGAAGATCCGAAATCCCTGGAGAAGGGATACGCTCCAGGAACTTGCTCGCTTGAATGGTACCCACTATAAAAAGCACAGTGGGGTAGCTGCTCTGAAAACTTTGGCCAGTGAAAGCAAGCCTGTGTTGGCAGACACGTCCTCCTGTAAAGTCATGTGGACTAGCAACTGTATGATGTGCACAATTTTCTCTAATCTGAGACCTGCTAGATGTGTTTGACTACAGCTCCCATGATTCCCAGTTACTATGTAAATTGGGATTTGGCCAATAGCCATGGAGGATATTTGTTTGGGAAGGACTCCACTGTTGCATCTTTTCTAGATTGCACTAGAATGGGGTCACAGTTCTTCAATTTACACATTGTATGAAACCACCAGGTAGTTTGTCTGAGCTTAGTTGTGTGAGCCTATATCATAATTTAATCTATAAACCCACTTCTGCTGATGTGGATAATGCCTTCATTCTTGATGTGGATAAAGTCCAAAGTCCAGCTGATGAATTTGAATTTTTAAAAATGCTAGATAACCTGTAACTACTTGAGAGGTTGTGGGAATTACAGGATTGCTGAGGCTAGGATGGATGATAAAGTAATAACAGAGGCTCTCTTGAAAAAAGTGTTGGATGTTTTGCTGGACCACCTCCTAATGATAATCCGTGCACAAAATGTTTCATTACATACACACAAATATGTACATAGCGAACACTGGCGTTTGAAGAAGCAGGGTAGAAAGAGTATTGAAGCTTTTGAGCTTTGGTACTGGAGAAGACCCCTGAGAATATCACGGATAGTCAAGGAAACAGTGTTGAACAAGTTTACTTACATTAGTGTTCAAATGTATAAATGATCAGGCTGAAATTATCATACTTTGACCCTATGATGTGAAGGTCTACCGTAGTTCTCTGGAGAAGGCTGTAATGCTGAGAAAGGTGGAAGGAAAAAGAGTAGCAGCAAGGTAGAAGGACTCAATTACAACAATTTATTTACTTATCAAATTTTAAAATTGGTCACCCCCTCACAGAGGGATAATGATAGTGCACTGTTGGAAGAGCTGAAGGGATCTGGCTGGGGACAGATCATAATAGAGAAAAATCTATCTACAGGTAATCCTTGACTTACAACCATTCATTTAGTGACCATTCAAAGTTACAACAGAACTGAAAAAAGTGACTTATGACTGTTTTTCACACGATTGTTGCAGTACCCCTATGGTGACGTGATCAAAATTTGGACGCCTGGCAACTAGCATGTATTTATGATGGTTGCAGTATCCTGTGGTCATGTGATTACCTTTTGTGACCTTCTGACAAGCAAAGTCAATGGGAAAGCCAAATTCACTTAACAACCCTGTTGCTAATTTAAAACTATAGTGGCAACCATGTTGCTAACTTAACAACTGTGACAAGAAAAGTCATAAAATATGGCAAAACCAGTGGTGGGATTCAGCCGATTCACACCACTTCGGCAGAACCAGTAGCTAATTTTTTGTTGCCTAGGCCCAGAATGGACTTACAGAAGCAGCATCCACACAGAGAACCGGTTGTTCACATATTTGAATCCCACCACTGGGCAAAACTCACATAACTGTCTTGCTTGGCGATGGAAATTTTTGGGCTCAGTTGTGCTTGTAAGTCAAGGACTACTTGTATGGGGTTGCTAAAAGTCTACATTGACACATAATCATATATAAACAACTGAAGACTTGCCTTTATACTGCCATGGATATACTTGTTTTTATGATCAAACACCTAGGAAATATTTCTCATATTTTGGAATCAACATTCCTCGTAATTCTTTAATTAAAATAAAATGAAAATCCTATATTGCACAGACATGTTCTGATCAAAAGGACCTCACTTCAGATTATCAGAAAACAATGAAAGGCATTAGCCTGTTTAGTCATGCTTAAAGTTTACCTGTTTTTCCTTCTTAGTAATGAGCTCGAAATTCAGCTTGCAGCCCTGGATAAACCATTCTGTCTCATGTCTAGTCCCTAATATATAGTTTGAAATGGTGTAAAGACTTCTTTGACTCAAGCTCAACTCCAGGATATATTCATATAATTTTCTTGGCAAGAATACATAATAACATGCTGTTGTCTTGTTGAATACTTTTTTGTCTTCCTGGTTTAGCTTACAACCCTGAGATTTCCTAGTAATAATCCAAGTCCTAACTTGGTCTGACCCGGTTTAGGTTTTCAAGATCAGCCATGGAAGTACGTGAATGAACATAGCCTATGCAATATAATGTATTTGCATAATTTATTCATATCCCACTTTTCATTGAGTTCATCTTGTCCTCACAGCTTCCTCATTATAGGGTAGGCTTGGCTAAGAGAGATTGACTGGTCTGAAGCCACTCACTGGTCTGATACTACTACATTACTATCAGGTTAGTACTATTAAGTTAGGGTAAGTATAACAGTGCTTGAATGTATTGTATAAGAATGTATAGTGCAAGAACATGCAGGTTGTAGCCTAAAGCTCACTAGATGGTTTGTCTTTCAGTTTCAACTGCTTAGAAGACTGGAGGACAACCAGGTATTTATTTATTTATTATTTATAAATTCATTTGCTCTTTTCTGATATATTTGATAAAGAGGTCTAGATATAAATAGTGACAGTCTGAATCTTTGAGGGAACTTCTGTTTGATGCAGGAAACAATTTTATTACATTTTTATCCTGCTTTATTATTTGATAAATAATTCAAGGCAGTGAACATATATAATACTCTTTCCTCCTTATCTTCCCCTCCCCCCAACAACAATCCTGTGAAGTGGGTTGGGCTGACAGAGGCTGGCCCAAGGTTGTCACCTAGCTTTCAAGTCCAAGGTAGGACTACAACTCACATTTTTCTGGTTTCTAACCCGATGCCTTAACCACTTCACCAAATTGGCTCTCCATTTTTATATATGTATGACATTTCATATCCATATCATATATCACTCTGAGCTTTTTAAGAGCTAGCTAAATACAAATTAATGTAGTGCAAATGTAATTTGAATTTTTGGTTTGAATATGCTTTTTAAAAAGACTGAAAGGGTTCTGAACATGGCTGTATTTCTGTTTAGTTTTTTTTATGCTTCTCTATATCTTTTAAGTCTACTTTGCTGCATTAGTTAAAACTTATGAAGAGCAATTTTCTCTTCCCTACTTACTGTATGTATTTCACAATATCCTTTACATTCCATTATATATATATATATAATTTTCTATTGATAACGAGGAGTGGGCATTTGTAAAGAGGAGCAGAAACAGCAAACGCTATCCTATATTGCTATATTGGTGTTTGGTGTATGGTGTGTGTTGGTGTGTTGGTAGGAGTGGTTACTGCTTTAGAAACACAGCATAATTCTTATCCCTTCGATACAAAGAATTGGTCTTTAATTCCTATCCAGTCCTAACCAATCACACCAGTGTTAACTCTACTTTAGAGTAATGGATCATTGATCTTATGCAGTGGAGAGAACCTGATAGTGACACACCCAGAATTGGAATTTTAAGAATATGTTTAATGCCATTAAGAATTATAGATGAGCTTAATGGAATGTCCGTTGTACTAGAAGAGCTCAGGTAGTGTGTGGGAAGCAATTTCATCAGGGATCTTTTTTTGTACATTAAGGGGGGGGGGGGATGTTTCCAAAAGGCGACAGACTGTATTTCAGTTCATTCTGAAGTTGGAGATATGATGTGCTGTTTCTCTTCCCATAACAGTCTGCCTTGTCTCTCCGAATGCGTATAGAGGTTCTTTTCTACCTAGATCTGAACTGTGGTGAGGGCATATCTAAGGAGAGAAAGGCCTTTTTAGTCACCACGCTTAGCTATGAAATTCTTTGCCCAGAAGAGCTAGAGTTCTTCTGGTTTTTTTTTTTAGGAAGACATTTGTTCTTCAAACAATTTAAATTTCAGAAGAAGGAATGTTATGCCTTCTCTGCTTGTTTTAAAAAACCTTCCCCCCCCCCAATGGTGTCTTATTTTTATTTAACTTGGGCATTAAATTTAAATTCAGTCAGCTATTCTGAACGGGACATTAAAAAAGAAAGGGCATTTTGTTTTTCCTGAGCTACAGTAAATATAGTCCAGCCAAAATGGCTCTCTTGATTCTCTACAGAAATGTGGGTTGATCCCCAATTTTTTTTGTTTATCTTCTTCGGCCAGCTTACCTACGCTTTCAAAGATTTCTTTTCAGGAGCCAATTCTATACTGAACTCCGGACTTGTGTGACTGCAGCTGTTAATCATAGTGGATGACTCGAAAGCAGAGGAATCTTTGTTGTCACCACGATAACTTGGCACAGAAGTGTGTAAATTAAAGCCAGTTATACAACCTGCTTTTATACTGGCAGACAGAAACCTTTCCTGTGTTCTGAGAGTATGATCTAAAAGTAACTACGGTGTAAGGGGAAGTGCATGCTGGAAGATAAAAAAATAAAAGTTTCTGTTCTGAAACA